GGTTAAGAGGCGGTCTAGCCTCTAACGGGAGGCCGATCGAGCCCCGTCAGCCGACGAGGCAACGCCCTCGGCCCTAAGGACGGGCTAGGACGAGTGGATGTTTCAATATTTATCGGGGGTGAGGGAGTGGGCCGAGTAGTTTACCGTAGTTACGGCGCCGTCGAGAGATTCGCCGGCATATCGCGGCCACGGTTCTCTTCAATTATGCAGCTTGCCGGGGTGGGGGAGGCGAACGACGAGAGACGACTCGTCGTTCAAGAGTCTGAGATTCCTTCTCGCGCGAAATCGAAATCAACGCCAACATCCTACTTACCTGAACTGTGCGGTTATTTGAACGCGAAGTCGCGAGTAGTTATTCAGCGGACTCCCATTATACAAGGTTTCCCGAAAATGTCTCGCAATCCGGAAATGGGAGGTTCCCGAGGTTATTTGAAGCAACTTTTTCCTTAGCGAAAATGCAATCCGAGGCTTCGTTTACGAGTTATTAACGAAAAACACTGACCAATGAGAGGCGAGCTCGGCTAGCGCGCAACGGCCCAGCCAACGAGTGCAAGGAGCCCAGTTCCGCTCATTGGCTTGGTCGTCTCGCGCCAAATGATCTCGCCTCTGATTGGTCACTGTTTTTCATTAATAACTCGTAAACGAAGTCTTGGATTGCATTTTCACTAAGAAAAAAGTTGCTTCAAATCACCTCAGGAATCCCCTAGTTTCGGATTGCGAGACATTTTTGGGACACTGTATGAGAAAACCTACGTTTCAGTGTGGCTTCGAATCGATACGAATCCGCGACTTTTTCGACCTTTTTTAGCCTGGTGCACCGCGTCCGAGCAATCATTATCGCTGACCGTTCCCCGTGAACCTCCCTGCGTTCGGCTTTCGTGCGTTTGAATCCGCGTACGCGAATGATAAAATCGATACAATCGCCTCTGTCTCTCTTTCTCTGTCTCTTTATCGCTCGCTCGCTCTCTCTCTCTCTCTCTCTCTCTCTCCATGGCCACGCACCACCCTCCTTGCGTTTCGCGACCCTCTTGAAAGGGTGAAGAGAGCGGACAAGAGGGTGAATATACGAGAGTGCGTTGCGTGCTCCTCAGAGCGTGTCGTCGACGTCGCCCTGCGCCCTCGCCCTCGCCGCCGCGCCGTCTACACCGGCTCGTTCCTGTTGCACGAAACAACGGGGCTTCCCCCCCCCCCCCCGAACCGGAGGTCCTCCAGACCGCTTTAAAAATAATCAATTTTACGATCCGCCGATCCGGGACCTTCTTTCGCCGGTTGCAAACCGCAAACCTGCGAAACTGCAAAGCTCTGCACCGTTCGTTGCCTGCCTCTTCTTTCCACGGCGAGTTCTCTTTACGACCGTTCTCGTCGCCCTTTCGTTTACGAGGCTTCTGAATATTTCTCGCGCGCCTGCATATCCCCCCCCCCCCCGGACCCCCCCCCCCCCCCCCC